ATATATATATATATGTGTATATATATATATATATATATATATATATATATATATATATATATAAAAAGATGAGGGGTTTTTTGGGGTTTTAACTTTTTGGTTCTGTTGGGGGTCATGGTATTGTGTGGTTTATTTTATGTTTGCCTTTACTTTTTTGCATTTGGGTGTGTATTCTGGCTGCCCTTTATGTTTAATTTTAAGCAACTGGCTGTGGAGTCAAAAACACTTGCATACTGAAAAACCTGTGTCAGGGCTTCTGTCTCCTGTCTTCTCTCCTCCCCGTATTGGCTCTTCCGTGGTTACAGAAGGTGGGCGTCCCCATGAAGTCAGTGGGGAAAGCCCTGATCCTGCTTTGCAGTTTTGGGTCCTTATGGGCACAGCAAATGAGGACAAGGTGGAGTGGCCAGTGAGCATTTGGGTCACTGGGGCAAGATCTGGAGAGGAAAGGAAAGGCCGGGGCAAATCCCGGGGGTGGCCAGTGGGGAGAATTGAGCACCTGCGTTGGTCTGGCGTGGGGCGGCGGGGGTTGGTGGGGTCCCCCCCGGGCGTGCGCTGCACAGGAGGAGCATGATGTGGGGAGGGACCACCTTTTAGGTGGCTGTGAGGGATGCCGCTCTTTAACTCAAGGAAATCACCTGCCTGCCAGCTCTCTTTCCTGCCCTAGGCCACCAGTGTCAGCAGCTGACTTCATGGTCTTGTCACTGCCCTCACTGTCATGCCGGTGTGCCCCCTGCCCCCGTACCCAGTGCAGTTTTTCTGTGGTTCTGCTTTCCTAAGACCCCGCTACTATGGAGGCAAGATGCCCATCCTGGATTTTACAACTTTTCTCCCTACTTCTGAAAAACAGTGGTAGAAACTATAATTCCTTCTGACTGCTGGCTCCAGAATGAGCCCGTTATTGTTTGAGGGGAACGGGATGCGTGCAGGCCTGGGATGAGGCCCTTTTAAGCTATGTTCTTAGGACCTCTCACTGTGGCTGCAGTCTCTGGAGAGTCGTATCAGCGTACAGGCCAGGGGTCTGTGTGTCTGGCCGACAGGAGCCCAGCCAGCCCCAGGAGTGATCTGTGAGCCTGCACTTACCCACTTTCTGATCCTGAGGCCTCGGGTTCCCAAACAACACCTGAGGCCATGTGGCGAGTGCAAGGATCCAGCTAAGCCAGGGATGCTATGGGAGCTCAGAGGGATGGGCAGGGGCACAGGGTTGTTCAGAAGTGATGCCTAGTTGACAAGTAGGAAAATGGGAATTAGGGGTGGTAGGGAAGAATCTTTGAACTAAGGAGACATCTGAGCACAGGCTTGGAGACAAAGAAGGGTAGTATGTGCAGGAAACTACAACCCACTTCAGTGTCACCGGAGCTAGAAGGTACAGGTGGGGGAGGAGGGTGTAGGAGCCCTGCCAGCCATGCCACGGAGTATGGCTTTGACTTTTGCCTGAGGTGATGGGGAACCATGGGAACTCTTTAAACCAGGTATGACAGAGTATTTTTTTGGTTTTCTTTTAATACATTGGTAAAATGTGCTGGAGGTAGGACAGGCAGAGGGAGGGGAAAAGGTGATCCCTTGAGATTCAGAAGAAAGGATGAAGGGAGAGTCGTGGGGATGCTGTAAGGATTTCCATTTAGGGCAGGAGGGACATGCTGTGGGCAAAGTCCGAATGACTCCAAAGGAATAGGTGATGGTCCTTTGGGGACCCGTGGACAGCCATGGGTGTTTGGGGTGTGTGGGTGTGCACACCCCTTTATTTCTCTGGAGAAAGGGGATGAGTTAAAAGCGGGACCAAACAGCAGTTTCTTTTCTTGCTTTTGGGTTCCCTTCCCCACACCTTTTCTGGAGTCCTCTCACTGCCCTTCTGCCAGAGTGGGAAGAGCAAAGCAGGAGGTACGGACTGTGACTCCCATAAAGCAGGGGGTAAATCTGCATCCCTGGTCCGGACTGGGGTGAGGACGATGGCCTCTTATTAAGTGATCTAATCCTTTCAGTGCGGCCTAGGGGAAAGAGCCAGCCCACCACTTACCATCTAGGCTGACTTCGGGTGAGAGAGAACCTAATCTTTCGAGCCTTCATTACTCCATCTGCCAAATGGGGCTCAATTTACTGCCGACGGAAGAGAATCACACTGAGTAAACATGGCTGTTTAGCTGAAGTTAGTTCCTCCTACGTGCTGAGGTCACGAGCTTACAGTTAATGATGGTCTTACCAGAATGTTCATTTGTGGGGTGCAGGGTTGAGAGGGAGGCCCTGTTCAAGTCTCCGTACTCTGAGAAAGGACGACCCGCGATCTATTTGGGTTGGGGGGGGGGGAATTGGGCGGTAAGCTCCTGCCCCTTCCGTATTTTACCCTGTGCCGGGGAAGCTTGTTGGGTGCTTTACGGTGTCCCGTCCCTGCTAAGACAAGTGCGTGTGTGGTTTGCGGAGGATGAGGTCCGCCCCAAGGGCGACCTGCTTAGCTCCCAGGGGGAGGGGCCAAGTGCTGGAGCCTTCTGGACCCCGCAACAGGGCGGGCCAGGCTCCACGTGTTCCCCGAGACCACGGGCTTCCATGGCGAGGCGGGCTGCTAAGCTGCAGCGTTGGGCAAACGGACTCGGACGCCTCCCAGGAACTCGGGCTCACGCCGCGGGCGGTCGGGGCCCTCCGCGCGCAGACGGCTGTCGCGAGTGCCTCGATCACTCTCCGATTTCAAGGTTGAAAGCGGCGGTGCGCGCAAGTGTAGCTAAACGCAGGCCGCGGTGGGGAGGTGGCCAGGCCGGGCGCCCCGCGACTGGGGGCGGCGGCCCGGTCTCACTCCCGCCGCCCGTGCGAGAGTGGCGGCCGGCGCAGGAGGCCAGGCCCGCCGCTTGCTCACCTGCTAGTCCCGGAGGCTGGGGGTGGGTGGCTGCGGGGCGGGGCCAGGGCGCGACCGGCCAATGGGGAGAGGGCATTCATTCGACTGCTGAATTCCCCCTAGAAAGGGGAAGGGGAGGGGGAGGGGGCCGGGGCGAAAGTTCCAAGGTAGTGAGCGATGGAAGGCCTTGGTGGGGGCCGGAGCCGCCCAGGGACAGTTTGGGGCGCAGGGTCAGGACAGAGGCAGAGGAAGATGCCGGCCGCGGCCGCCTCCGCCAAGAGCGGCACGCCCCGCCCTGGCCGCCTCTCCCTTCCCGGGCTCCGCTGGGTCACCCGCCCGCCTGCGCCGGCTCCATAGCGCCACCTGCTGGACGCAGGCCGCACGCCTGGCGTGCCAAGGCCGAGGCTCTCACAGGCTGCGACCGCCTTGGCCTCCCAGGCCTGGGAGCAGCCGGAGGGGAATGAGCGCACTCACCTCGGATCCAGCGGCTTTGGAGCCGGAGGCAACCGCCTCTTTAAAAATACATGATGGGGTCAGAAAGACTACGATCGTGAGAATACCTTCTTGTTCCGCCCCTCCCACAGGGCCTGACGCTTCTACCACTCAGTCCCACCCAGGGATGAGGAAATAGTGATGAGTCTGTCCCAGGAAGGGGGCAGCAGAAAAGGGCAGGAGTTCAGAGTCTTCGGGGCACCTGGTGGCAGCAAGGCATTGCTGGAAGCAGCCTTGGTCTCCTTGTGGACCCTGCTGTCGCTGTCCTGGGGTGGCTGCAGACGTGGGCAAGGGAGGCAGGTGCCTGCAGTGCTATATGAGGGGAAAAGAGCCGTGGTAGCCCCCAAGGATGGGTTGTCCTTTTCTCGCCCCTCTTGCCTGCCTTAGTATAGGGCTGAAATCCCCATGGTTAGAAACAGGACTCATTCATTCTTTCAATAAACATTTATTGAGCACCTACTGTGTGCCAGGCACTGTGCTAGGCGCTGGGGATACATCAGTGACTAACACACAGTCCCTGTCCTTGAGGAGCTCACAGTCTATCGGAGGGGAAACATACATAAACACATAGCTAAGGAGCTACCATGTGCTAAGTGCTACAATAAGAGGTATATACAAAGTGCTGTGGGAGCTCAGAGGAGGGAGTAATGCATCAGCTGCTGGGGGTGAGGAGCAAGTCTCTTGACTCTATTAACCATTGCAAAGGCAGGGATGTTGTTGCCACGTGACCCTGGTTGAAATGAACCTGTCTCCTGAGGCTCTCCTCTAGCCCTCTCCCATAACTATATCAGCACAGGTTAGTTTATCAGATTAGCTAATTTAACACTTCGAGTAGGAAAGAAACTGGACAGGGAAGTTTCTTTAGGGGCAGGGGATGTTCAAAGTAGTAACAACTCTTGGATGCTAAGGCTGGGGGGTGGGGTGGGGGGTACCATGAGGGCACTGAGCCAGGGAGGGCAGGCCCTGGGCAGTGGAGCACCTGGGGTGAGTGCCTGTGCAGAGGGGAGGTTGGAGGTCACCTACCTCAAACTTTGGTCCCCCATCTCTCACCAGCTCAATCAGTAACCGTCCGCTGATGCTCACTAGTTTCTTCGTAGTGTGCCCTGCTCTTTGGGTGATACAGTCCCCTGCCCCTCAGAAGGTAATTGGGGAGACTAAATAGGTTCAGGTCATTGAGGATGTAAGTAACAGTTTGTGATTATTATAGAGATGTCACAGGCTGCTCACAATCGGTTGCCAAAACTGCCAAAACTGGTCTGGGGAGGCAGCTTCCATGAACCAAGACTTGAAGGATGGATACAACCTAATTGGTACTAGCGGGGTGGGAAGACCATTCCGGTTGAGCAGAAGCAAGTAAAGCAAAAGCACAGAGGTGGGAAACTCCAACAGAGGCACATTCAAAGGCCAGCCAATCCACCCCTTTGACTGGAGCAGTACACAGGTCAGGGAAGCAATGCTGAGCCGACTGGGGAAGTCAGGCCCTGATGGTGAAGGGCCTTGCCAGAAGGTCGAAGACTTGGGAACTTGTCTGAAGACAGAGCTGATGCTAAGCGCAAAATACTTCTGGAACGGCTGACCTGAGCCCTCAAGTGCTCCCCCACACCTCCTCCAGGACCCCTGGACTGCCTCACGATTCAGAAAATAAAGGGTTAATGCCCAGCTGCTCAGAACAGATTGGAGGTTAATTTTTTTTTTTTTTTGGCCGTACGCGGGCCTCTCACTGTTGCGGCCTCTCCCGTTGTGGCACAGGCTCCGGACGCGCAGGCTCAGCGGCCATGGCTCACGGGCCCAGCCGCTCCGCGGCGTGTGGGATCCTCCCGGACTGGGATCCCCTGCATCGGCAGGCGGACTCTCAACCACTGCGCCACCAGGGAAACCCGGAGGTTAAGTATTTTGAGTGTCACCCCGACCTGGAGGCACCCTGGCAGAGGAAGAACAGAGGTGGTGCCCTGGCAGATTGGAGGGGCTGAGTCGGATCACCCTGGGGGGCTGCCAATATGTCTGGGGACGGGGTTAAGCTCTGAGTGAGTTTGAGCTAGGCTGGGAATGTGGAAGAACGGCCAGATTTGAGAGACAATGGCAAACTGCGCTGGAGTTCAGGAAATGGGGCGGGGACAGGGTCAAGTGAACACAGCCATCAGCTGGCTCTCAAATGTCAAGCTTAGAAGGTCAGGAAGATGGTGGCAGCATTAAGAGAAACAGGCAAGTCATGATGGCCTTTTTGTTTCGAAAGGTTTTGTGTGTGTGGAGGACTTTCAAATAGCCATTTTTGATAGAGGGGCACTCTTTGAGGGACTGACAGGCACCCGGGTAGAACTGTCCAGCAGACCGCTAGGATTGTGAGCCACAAGCTGAGGAGAAGAGTGAGGGCTGGAGCTCTAGATTCCAGACCCAACCCAAAGAGCCCTCCTGGAGCCAGGAGGGTGGATGAGGCCCTTGGGGGCACCCACATGTAAAGTGGTGGATGTGGAGCCCGACGGGCACAGAGAGAGAGGGTGACGGAGGACTCGGATGAGCCCAGCTAGTGCCCAAGGGGATGGGAAGTAGTGTCATGTGCCGTGAGGGCTCACAGGGGCCAAGAAGTGTGAAGAAGACCTTCGTATGATGAGTTCTATGGGGTTGGGGTGAGGGGGGCAGGGCCAGTCTCAACCCACGTGGCACCTTTGTGCCAAAATTACTTTTAAAGGTGACCCCCTTCAAGATGCTTTACTTTCCGCCACCAGGAAATGGTCATAATAAACTGATTTTATTAGAAAAAAATCACGTTAACGCCAAGCGCTGGAGACGTGTGAGAAATACACCTGCACAACCATGTATGCTTCCCTCCTGGGGGGAGAAGAGGGAGAACAAGAGGACGATAATGGGCTTGGCAGTGACCAGAAGGAGAGAGAAGGGCAACCAGGGGAGGTAGTTAGGTCACGTGGCTGGTTTTGTGCCAGGGACATAGCAAAGGTCCTGAGGCACTGATTCACATTAACCAAATTCACCAGATAATATCACTGTTTCCAAGGCTGACATATTAGAGCTCTTAGGCTGGCTCTGAAACGTGGCAGAGAGAGGAAAGCGAATTCACAGAAGAGACAGGGGACAGGATGGAGGCCCCAGGCCGAGGGGTTGACTTCAAGAGAAAATTGGCTGACCCCTTCTCAGAAAGAGGAAAGATGGAAGGAAGGCACATGGAGAGACAGGAGGAACAGGGAGCTCACAGCTGCTGGCTCCCGTCTTCGTGGAGGAGGAATCAGGGTGAGGTGAGAAAGCTGGAGGTCAGGGGCCGCGGCCCACTGGAGGTGGTCTGCTGCAGCGGTCGCGGAAGTGGCTGGGTGGACCGACCTGTGAGGGGAGTAGAAAGTAGGCTGAGCAGCAAGTAGGCACGAGCGGGGACAGAGGTGGGCCCGAAGCACACCGCTACTGGATTATCCGACTGTCCCCGGCCCCGCCTGCCAGCAGGGAAGCGGCAGGGGCAAAATTAATCAAGAGGGAAGCCAGGATTCGGGGTGCAGGGCAGGGCACCCGTGAAGGCTGGTATTACAGCCCGAGCCCTTGGCGCAAACATCCAGCTAATTTAGCCCCCCTCCCCCCGGGGACGTTGTGGCTGGGTCTGCCCCTGGAGGGGCGCTTCAGCGAAGCGCTCTGGGGAGCTGATGTTTCCGGCCTGCTGGCTAATGACTGGTGGGCAAAGAGGCTGACCCCAGGAAGAAAGCGTCTTCCCCAACACACATGCTCATCGAAGGTCTCTTCCCCTGGACCTGCTCCAGCTCTGTGACATCTCTCCAGATGTGGCGGCTCCAACCTGTACCCCATAGGCTCAGAACAACCGAATCTTGGTTTGTACAAAGGGAACCGGAGAAGGCTTTCCCTTAAAACAGAAAACTCCCCATCTCTGTGGCTGACCCACAGAGAGACACACACCCTTGAAGACCTCACAGCTACACCCCCGTCCTCACCAAAGAAATGGAGATACAGACCCACGAGTACACACAAATACATACAGAGATATTCACGTACGGGATAGTAAGTACTCTGTGGAGGGAAAGAAGATGGTGAAATACAGTCAGGCAAAAAGACTCTTCTCACGAAGCCCCTACCCCAGCCCTGGCTACAGACGTCTCAGGAGGTCTGCCCTCCGTCACCAAGTCAGCCTATTACCCCGACAAGAACATAGCCCCTAGTGCTCTTGAAAGCTGTGGTCTGACACCAGGGATGCTCCGACTGGGCCTGTCTTGGCCATGGTGACGCCGGGCAGGGGTGGGGCACGGGGTTGTGGTGTACTGACCCCCCACTGAAATATAAGGGCAGGTGCACGCCTTCAGTCAGGATCTTAGAGGAAGTCCATATACAAATGCTGCTCCACTTTGCCTGGTGGGTCACACTTCCCCCCAAGCCCTCCGTTTATATGTCATGGGGCTCCATCTTAATGAGGGAAGTGGGGTTGAATGGGGAGAAGGGGGCTGGGGTTGGGGATCTGGTCAGTAGGCTCCCAGATGTGGTCACACTAGGCTCAGCCGTAAACAGGGACCCTGAGCCCGAGGAGAGCTCAAGTTCAGCCACCGGGGTCAGCCCAACAGTGGGGCGGCTGGGAGGAGAGAAAGTCTGGTTTCCCAGAAGGCTCGGATTGTGGGAACCCCTTGCAACTACCTGGGTTGGAAGTGGCTGAAGGTGAGCCTGATCCCTCAGGAGCTCCCTCAGGGTCTCTTCAGGAACCAGCAGCCCCTCCATGGGGGCCCCAGTCATCATGCCCTGTACATAGGAGGAGGGCCTCAGAGGCCCCTCCTTGACCCCAGGGGCTGCTGTGGCACCGGAAGTCCTGATGAAGGCCGCAATCACAGTCCCGGGGGGCTGAGAGCTGGGCCCTGCTGGGCCAGCCCCTGTGACCGAGGGTGGTGCTGGATTGGTCGGACAGTTGCCCCCAGCCAGAATTTGGGGGAGGCTACTGAGAATCAGCGGAGCCCCTGGTGCTGCCACCTGGTTCTCTTGGAAACTGGTGTTCAGGGGGAAGGAGGCCTGCAAAGTGAAGGTGTCCTTGAAGGTCGAAGCAGGCGGAACACTCTGGAGAACGAGCTGGGTTGAAGCAGTAGTACTGGCAGGAGGCCCGTTGGTCAGCACTGTGGTCAGCGGGATGGTCTGCAGGGTCAAGGCCGAGCCTGACCCGACAGGGGCCACTCCTAGGTGGATGTTGCTGGGCACTGAAGAAGTACTGAGGAGAAACAGAAAACAGATTTGGTTCAGGTAGGAGGCTCAGAAGGAGGGCACAGGAGGAACGGAGCTGAAGGCGTTTTCTTTGTCGTCACTTTGGCTACCGTTTGTTGAGCACTTAGTAAAGGTCAGGGATCATTCTAACTGGCTGGCATGCAGGATTTCACTCAATCTTCCGATCAGCCATGAGTCGAATAAGATTAACAATCTGATTTTACTGTGTGAGGAAACAGGAACAGAGAGGTTAGGTAACTTGCCCTAGACCACACAGCTAGTAACAGGGACACAAGGCTTTCTGACTCCAGAGCTCGTGTTTGTCACCGCTCCACTCTACTGCCGTCCCTCTTCAGAAGAGCATCCCTGTGGCCCACACCAGCGTAGTGACAGGTACATACATATAAACCAGACGAAGGCCAAAGTTTCCACGGAAAATTGGAGGCACCTTAGTGTGGACAAGAAGTAGCAAGAGCTTTCCTGGTGGGCTTGGAGGGCCTGAGGAAGGCAGGATGTTGCCTCTTTTCTGGAGTGGAGGAGGCTTGGGGGGACGAGCCCAGGAGTAGAGGCTCCCGGTGGCTGCTTGGGGAGCACTCTGGGGTAACAGAAACAGCCCCAGCTGGCAAGAGAAGCACCCCAGGTCAACAGTTGGCTTGGCCGTTACATTGGCGTGTGACCTCAGGCAAGTCACTTTTCCTCTTTTAACCAACAAGTGTCCCACTGGCTTCCCAGGGATGCCACAAGGGTCCCAGGAGACCCGAGAGAGAGCGGAGCTTTGCAAGAAGCTGAAAACGCTCCCCATCACGAGGTACTATGGGAAGACTTGGAACGGCCTGGGCGCACTTACCTCACAGCTTTGGTGCGTTTGGCCTGGCTCTCTGGTGGAGAGACAAGCACCGTGGAGGTAGTGGGGATCTCCTCGTCTAGAGACAGTCCCGATTCCAGACTCGCAGATGGCTGTAGACCAACGTGCTGAACCTTTGGCTTTTCCCAGGAAGTGGCGCCCTTGCCATGCGGGGCAGCTCTGGATGATACCCTGGAGCTGGCTCGCCGGGTGGTGCTGCTGGACGAGGTGGAGGGAGTGGAGGCCTGAGGGGATGTGGCTGGGACTTCACTTCTCTCGTCCTCATCTTCAATCACCACCAGGTCCTTGGGCATCTCCTTAAACTGGTACACCAGCCTCTGCCCTTCCACTTTGGCAAGGATGCCTCTTTGGTAGTAATATCTGTGGGACACGGGACAGAAAGTGGGGGGTGAGCCAGGGACACACCACCCTCCCGGGCAGGGTGCGCACGAGGTGGAGGCTGGTCGGGGAGCCAGACGGGAGCCCAAGGGCAAGGGAAGGGGAAGGGCCAACTCTCGGACTTGGAAGGCTTTTATGAAATTTCTGATATCTCCCCCCTGATGACTCAAAGGGTCCACAAGCAGGGATTTCAAATGCTGACCCCCATCCTGCTTTGGGGCAGAGGACGGGAGCGAGTGAAGGATGGGAGGGGTGGACGATGGGGGTTCAGCAGTCCCCCAACCTGAGAGACCGACAGTGGGTAAGTCAGGCCCATCTTCCTGGACCCCTAGCTTGCAGAATATGAAGGAAGCCCTTCTTGGGGATGGGGGGCCCTAAAGTTCTCTTTCTGCTCTAAAAAGAAAAAAAGGCTAGGACAGAAATGCAAGAGGAAGGGGACTGTCCCTCCCAGGCGGGACCTGGGAAATGGGCTGGGGGGCAAGCAAACGGGAGAGTCACAGGAATTCCCTCCTCGGAAGAGCGTCCCGGTGACTCAGGCCACAGGAGCGAGGCACTTACACATCACCCAGAGCCCAGTCTTCAGGGAAAATTGGAGGCCCCTTAGCGACGGGACTCCCTGGACAGAAGGAAGAGCTTGGTGACTCCTCAGGGCAGTGGCTCCTACCTTAGTGCCCGTCCCATCGTCTCATAGTTCATGTCAGGCTTGTTCTTCTGCTTCCCCCACAGCTTGGACACCGCTTTGGAATCCACCAGCTTGAAGATACCTTTCTCTCGCTGGGTCCACTTGATGTACTTGGGGCAGGTGTTCCGGTCTTGCAGAAGTGCGAGGAGGAACTCCCACAGGTAGATGGTGCTGCCTGCAGAGTGGCAGGCGGTGAGGGGGCGCCCAGGCCCCCCGGCTCCCTACCCGCCTCACCTGCCTCCCTGCCGTACCTTTGCCATCCTTCGATTTCTTCCGAATGGGGATGCTGGGGTCAGTGACGGGTGAGGTACTGCGGTTGCCCTTGGTCTTCCGGACTGTGGGGGGATGGTGGGAGCAGGGTGAGGCTGAGCCCAGCCAGGGTGAGCGCTGAAGGGCGGCTCCTGGGAGGGAGGGCCCAAGCGCTCACCAAGTTAGGTGACGAGGCAGACAAGGCAGAGGCCCCGGGAGGCCCGGGGTCACTCTCCACAGGCACAGCCTTCAGGTGCCCGCACCTGCCCAATGGCCAGCCCTCATTTTCAGGCCCCAAAGGTAGAGCAGAACACTGCTCCTGTGTGGGCAATGGAGTGCTTACTGATGCGCCACCTTTAGAAGATCAGAATCTGCCTCGCCTAATTTTTGAAACAAAAAGGCGGCCTAAAGGCGTGACTGTGGCGTGGATGAGTGTGGCACCAGGGTTTGGCTGCCGCACGGACACGGCAGCATCGACCAGCCATCGCCTGAGTAAATCAATAACACTGGGGCTTGGGAAAGCCCAAAGTCCTCTCCCATACATGGTCTCAGCTCCGTAAGCTCCGAGAGGGAAGATAAGAGCATGGGTTGAGGCAGAGGCCCCCAGAGGGCCAGGGACTGGCCAGGGGGCCAAGCCTGGTGTCTGAACACTCAGTACAGGATTCAACCCACGGGGATCATTGGGTTTTTAAGAGTTTACATATCTGCTGGGCAGATGGGGGTGGCCTGGGAAATGTCAGGCTTTGGGCAGGCCACCTGATGGGGCCCGTCTTTCCAGAAGGGAGGACTTTCTGTCCATCCCGCCACACCGGAGAGCTGTTCTCTTAAATGTGTCTGTGAACCTAACCCCGACACTCACCCCTACTTATGGTATCCCTGAGCCCCTCCTACTGCCCACCCCCCTAAAGGAACACTCTCCCCTCTCCCCCCCCCTTCTCTCTCTTACGTCTCTTCTTCGATTTTCCAGTCTTCTTGGTACTTTCTTCTCTGGGGACCTTCTCCTCCAGACAGCACTCCTCCTGGCCACCAGTGTCACCAGCCCTGTTCAGGGCGTCGGGCTCAGAGACAGGAAACAGGTAGCTGGGCAGAGTGACGGCTGGAGCAGGGTCCGGGTCTGGAAGCATTTCGGAGGTGCTGACTGCAAGAAGAAAGGCCTGAGGTGGGTGCGGCCCAGGGCATGGTCTCCCAGTGCTCAAGAGAACAGTGGGCTCCTGGCGGGGCGGGGCGAGGCGCCATTCCCCACGGCCCCAGACACAGGATACACCTGAAAACGCCTCCCGTGTCTCACAACACTAGGAGAGGAAACATCTGCAGAGCTGTGGGCACGAGCTGGCCCCAATCACGGCGGCCACGTTTATAGCGCACTGCTGGTGGTGGGGAAGTTCCAGGTGACACCCCAGGAAAAGGGCCACCTTGATTTAGTCATCTACTCATTTCACAACCGGAAGGAGCCTTAGACATCATTTAGCCCAATTCCTCTGCTTTTCTGGTGAGGAAACTGAGACCCAGAGATGGCAGAGCATGTGCCCAAGGTCACACAGCAAGCTGGTCACACATGCCTGGTACATGCAGGCACTCAGAAAATATTTGTTGCATCCTGAATGAATATTAGTGACAGAGACGGGATTAGGAATGCTAGGATTCAGAATTTGCAGCTTCAGGGCTTCCTTTCCCCCACTGTATCCCAGTGCTTCCTTGGGAAGGGGCAGTTGGGGCCAGGAATCCTCCTGTGGAGTCACGGCAAGTGCGTGGGGGGTGCTGAGGGAGAAGCCTGCCTCGGGGGCCATCGGAGGAGGTAGGGGCCAACCTCCCAGAACAGTGAAGGGATGAGGAGGCCACACCCTGCACGGTCTTCCTGGGAGCTCAGCAAGACAGCAGAGGGGCCTGAAGTTACCCTGACCAATAGTATTCAGCCTTAAAAAGGAAGGAAATTCTGACACATGCTATACATGGACGGACCTTGAGGACATTACGTAAGTGAAATGAGCCAGTCCCTCCAAAACAAGTACTGTAAGCTTCTACTTATCTGAGGTCCCTAGAGGAGTCGAATTCATTGACACAGAAAGTAGAATGGTGGTGGCCAGGGGCTGAGGGGAAGGGGAAATGGGGAGTTAGTGTTTCATGGGGACAGACTTTCAGTTTTACAAGGTGGCGGCTGCACAACATAGCAAATGTACTTAATACCACGGACCTGCACACTGAAAAATGGTTCAGGTGGTCCATGCTATGTTATGTGTATTTTACCATAATTGAAAAACTAGAAAAAAAAAAACCCAAACAGTCACCCTGGCCATCTTTGCTTGTCTCCAGTGCCGTCCTGCCCTTCCCATTCCAGTCACAGCCAAAGAGCACGTGCACGTGTATATGGGTGGGTGTGGGTGCGCGCACATGTCCCTGAGAATCTAATACACGGATGTGATATTTTTAAGGGAATTTTGTGTTGCTTCAACTTAAGGCGCTAGGGTTCAAACTTACAGATCTGCTTCTCATCCAGGATGTCATTGGGAGACTCGACGTTCAGCAAGACTTCAGTGGTTGACATGGTTTGCGAGGTTGCTTCATTGTCATCTGGTGCCGGGTTCCATGATGTGGGGGAGAAGAAAAGTTCCCTCAGGGCATAGGGCAGTGGATGCAGCTACAACCAGGGCCAGCTCAGAGAATGGAGCTAAGGAGCCCGGGGGCAGCCGGGAGGGGACCAGCGCGCCTCCCACCCTGATTCTCCACCTTTCTCTACACCCATCCCAGCTGGTCTCCCCTCACTGTCCCGCTCCATCTCAGGAGATCATGAATCCATTTAGGTGGTTTCCTCCTCTCTGAAGTGGTACTACCTCCTGCTTATCCTAATCACCCCATCTAACTTCCAACTGTTGGGGGCCTTGACCTTGGCTGCGTGGGGTCACTAGAAGCCATTGTGGACTACTGTTCCCTGAAGACAGAACCCTTTTTTCCTCCACACCTTCTCTGCCCAGGAAGGAAACAGACCTGCTAGCAAAAAACTACCCTCCAGGATCTGATCCTGAGTCATGCACAAGGTCCCGTCTGTTATGATGCCATTGTGAACGTCGTCCAGCTCCAGGCCTGAGTACAGATGCAGTAATTCGGGGTAGGGGACCTGCTCCACGATCACAGCTGGGAACACTGAAGGGTCTTCCAGCTATGGAAAAGAGAGGGATCTGGTTCAGGGCTCACCCGCCTCTCCCAGGAAGCCCTCCGTACTGACCCTTCTTGCAATTCCTAATTCTTGGATCCCTCAGGGGCTGTCCTTTGTAGGGCATGACATTGCTCTGGGTCCAACCTCACTAGGTGATGCTTTGAGTGGGTTCTTAATGAATAGAGATGGGTTAACTCTGTACCAGCTGCACTCAACCAGGGGCAGACAGTTCTAACTGGTCGTAGTTATGGGTTAATCGGTGAACAGGGTTAGTGCTCAGTCTATGAGAAGGATAAAGCTCATTCTGAAGCCAGTGGGAAAGGATTCGTCAATGGCAAAAAGGGCGAGGGACTCAGCCTATGCTCAGGGTTGGGTACCAGGGTTAGGGGCTCAGATTGTGAACATCTTAGGGCTCAGTCTGTGGTGATGAGAGTAGGAATGAAGACAGAAGAACAGAGGCATTATAGAGGTAGGAAGGTAAGGGCCTAGTCCCTGCCTGGATGGGGGAGAGGGTTCTGATTTCCAGCTTGATTCAGTGGGTGCATGGGGATACTGTTCTTGTTAAGGGGGAACGCAGAATGACGAGGAGTAGGTTTTTGGAGAAAGATAAGGGAGAAAGTGTCTGAATATGGTGAGTTGGAGGCACCACTGAGATACTTAAAATGGAGACACCTCAGGGAGTCAAAAATATGTATCCAAGAGCTCATCCCTGGGAGTGGATAAAATTATTGGGATGAGAATTTGACCCCCAGAGGACATAGTTGTTCTAAAATCAAACAAAGCTAAATTTAAAAAATGAGTGCGATCACAACTGTTTTTTAAAAATGATGAATAGAAAGAAATATACCAGGATGTTCATAATAATTATATATTTTGGTTGTGAGACTTTGGGTGATTTTTTTCTTTTCTACTTGTCTGTATTTTCCAAATTTTCTTTCATGAGTCTGTTAATTCTTTCTTCATGAAAAAAAGAACGAGAATGCTCAGTTCTGCCTAATGTTCCTGAAGGATCCAGAAGAATAAAAGCGATGAAACTGGCTTTGGGTTTGGCCGCTGGGCAGTCACCTGGCTAGAGCAGTTTCAGGGGAGTGCTGGGGTCTCAAAACACATTACAACAGATCTCAGGGAGGACGGACAGAGGGAGGCAGGCAGGTGGGCGTAGTGATTAAGGCCACAGAGTCTAGAGCTACCGGTCCAGTACCGTAGCCACTAGCCACCGGTGACTGTGTACCTTTTTTCAAGATTAAAATTTCAGTTGCACCAGCCATAGTTCAAGTGCTCCATAGCCACATGGCCCCACATTGGACAGCGCAAATCTAGAGCATTTCTAGCATCTCAGAAAATTCTATTGGACTGTGCTGATCTAGAGCCAGACTACCTGGGTTTGAAACCAAACTCTGCTATTTACGAGCAGTGTGATCTTGCGCAAGTTACCTAACCTTTCTGTGCATCGGTTTCCTCCTTTATAAAACTGGGGCGGTCATATTATTGACCCCATAGGGTTTTTTAAACAGATCAATGTAGATAAAGCGCTTAGAACAGGGTCTGGCATACAGTAGGTTCTCATTAGGTGCTTTAGGCATCAGGGGCTTCTAGGAGACAAGTAACGTTTTATTTCTTAACCTGGGTGGTGAGTTAATGCGTGTTCACTTTATAGTTATTCTTTAAATATATATATATATATATATAATTTATGCACTCTTTTGTATTCATTTTTTAAATTGAAGTATAGTTAATTTACAATGTTGTGTTAGTTTCAAGTGTACAGCCAAGTGATGCAGTTATACATACATACACACACATATACACACACATATATATGTCCTTTTTCAGATTCTTTTCCATTATACGTTACCTCTTTTGTATTCACAGTATATTTTGCAACAAAAATTGTTTCCTAAAAAGAGTGAGAGAAGGGAGGTGAAAAAGTAAACCCAGAGGGTGGAGGCTACACTGGGGAGAAGAACAGACCTAAGAAGGTGGTATGTTGGAGGAGGTGGGCAGAAGGGAGGAAAGGGTTTCTTTTAGGGTTGGGGAGACATGAAAATGTTCTAGGTTGAGGAGACAGGTGTGGGAGGTCTGAAAGGTACGAGAGAGAGGAGGTGATGGATGGTGTGAGGTCTTGAAGGCGGCAGGAGAGAAGAGATTAAGCACTGGGGTAGGTGTTACCCTTGGAAGGAAGAGGGTCACTTCTTTGTCCCAGGCCGGAGGAAAGGAAATAGGAACAGGTGATGTTATTGCTAAGAGGGAGAAGGGAGGGAAAGTGAGGGCGTCCCTGGGTTTGAGCTTCTCTGTGGATTGGAGGAGAGGCTGTCTGCTGAGGGTGGAGGGGCAGGCGTGGGGTCGGGAGGGAAGAACAGCTTCGGTGAAGAGCAGCCTTTATGAAGAACAGAAATAATTGCTGAGTGGACTAGAAACAAGTTAAAAAGTGACTAGCGGAGTTGAGAACCCAGGTAGAGTTAGATTTTTCTTCCCTTCGTCCAGGAGGTTAGGCACGCCAGAGATGCTGGATAAAACTGAGCAACTTTAGGTTAAGACCTAGCTGGACAGAAAGTACCATGTACTCCAAGCCCACTAGGGGGCAGCCTTTGGTAGGTCACTAGAGATTGGACAAAGTTTCCCATCCTCACAGGGATCTGGGATAGACAGCATCAGAATTAGGCTGGGGTGCCCTTGGAGATAATCCAGCTGGACCTCCTCTTGGTGAAGATGGGGAGATGGCAGCCAGATAGGGTCGCGGACAGGACTTGCCCAGGTGACACTGTGGCCACACTGGGATCAGAACCCAGGGCTTTGGACTTCTAATCTTCCATTCCTTCTGCCGGACCTGGCTGCCTCTTCTTCTCCAGTGTGTGGAAGGAGGGTAGTGGAGGGTAGGGATGAGTGTGCCAGGACACCATCCAACGGGTACATATAAGTACCCTAGTGCCAGGCAAGGTATGGAGCAGTGGGGGCCTGAGTGCCAGAATCCTGTCCTGTTTTCCAATTTCCTCCCACCAGAGGAACCTATCTCCAGTTTATCCTGAATCCTTAGATCGAGGCTGAAAAGACGGTTATGGAAGGGCTCATCCACCGGCTAGAGACATGAGTCTGAAGGTGCTGGGGGTTGGACTGTACCCTGCGGTGCCAGCTGGCAGTTCTCAGTCCCGCTATGTGGTTGTCCCAGCACCTTTCTCACTGTGACACTGGAGGTGAAGCAAAGTGGCCAAAAATGCACATGGAGGTCAGTGTACATGTGTGCATTCAGCCCGTTGCTGACTGACAGCTCAGCTAGTGTACTTAGCAGCTGCTTGGCTGGCCTGGGAACTTTACGTGCCCTGTAACTGCACGTGGGCAAAACCAGCTCACTAAACGACCACGCGATGACTACTGCCTGGCCGCATGGGGCGCGTTGGTGCACAGTCTGGCTGGCAAGCAGCCCCTATGTCCTAAACCTAGTAGGTGCTTGATCAATATTTGCTGACTGGGACTCTCCTGGTGGTCCAGTTGTAAAGAATCTGCCTTCCAATGCAGGGGATGCCGGTTTGATCCCTGGTCAGGGAACTAAGATCCCACGTGCTGCGGGGCAACTAAGACCGCGTGCCACAACTACTGAGCCCGCATGCCTCATCTAGAGAGAGAAAACCCGCATGCCACAACTAGAGAGAAGTCCAAGCGCTGCAACGAAGAACCCGCGCACCACAACAAAAGATCCTGCATGCCGCAACGAATATCCCGTGTGCCGCAACTAAGACCCGACGCAGCCAAAAATAAACATACATAAATGAATAAATAAAATATACATTAAAACAACAACAACAACAATATTTGCTTTCTGGCTAGCTGGCTGGTCGGCCAGCTCACTGGCTGTCTGCCTGCCTCTCTGTGTCTATCTGATTGTCTGCACTGGCTGACCAGGTTCTGTTCTCTGGGGCCATACCTGGTGGATGTCATCCATTCCGTTGCTTGCAAACTCAAAGATCAGGTCACTGGGCTGCAGAGTAATAGCCATGCTGTCTTCTCAGAGAGCTGACTGCAGGATCCGCAGGGCCCTCTGGAGGTGTGGGGTTTCCTAAATGAAGAGATGCTGTACCTTGGAGCCTAGAGCCCACACCACGAGCCACGGTAAAATAGGGGTTGTAGAGAGCTGGAGTAGGTGGTGGCCTAAGCCAGGTTCAAGGCTGCATGCTGAGCTGGGCCAAGCGCAGGAGCGACCTACAGAGAAGGGAGAGACGGGGCAGTGAGTAAGTCACCTTCCTTGAGCTCTGTTCCTAGGACAGACTGCCAGAAGAGGGATAGCCAAAAGTGGAGGACAGTGGGAGCAGAAGGGGGAGGGAAAAGAAAAGGAGGCAGGTAAGGAAAGAAGGAAGAAGAAAAAATTGAGTCGCCTTGAGAGGGAAGAGGCTGAGCCTCGATGCCAGTCTGGGTAACCAGCATCTGCACCTGAGCTGGCCTCCCTCCCTTCCCACGCCCTCTGGAGAAGGTGAGAGATAGCAGGAGTTCGGGCTCTCTCCACTCTGAAGATTAATCCCCAGGATGCGGCCACAGGGGAAGCCAGGGGCAGCCCATCTGGCCTCATGGATGGAGCATGAAGAATCCCTACAGTACCCTTGGCTGGGGAAAGAATCTGCGTGCGAGACTTGGGGTGGGGACATTTGGGCGCACAGGATGGTCTTCTAGGCTCTGCCTGGCTTGGTTTGCCTTGGGAGTAGAGGCCACTGAGTTCTGAAGGGCAGAGTCCACAGTGGAAGTCATGTCTCACTGTCGGGGTTGTGTTGTCAGGGCCAGTGACAGCCTGACCCTGCTTGAGGGGATGGGACTCTCAGACTCAACCACGCCTCCAGAGAGCCTGGAGACAGAGGGACAGGTGGGCCGCATGTCCTGCGCTCTCGTCACCACCCAGCCACCGCCGCCGCCCGCCAGAGATGATGGCCTCTGTGCCATATGTGGCTTGCGCTCTTGGTTGAGCTTTGCTTTCAGTTTCAATACTGAACTGTCACCCTGGGAACCGGCGAGGAGAGCCGCAGCTGGGGGAAGGGCGCAGGGGACCTTCCCCATCGTCCAGGGCCAGCTCAGGGCCCCCCTCTTCCAGGAGATCTGTCTGCTGCAGTCCACACGTCTGTCCTCTGTGGCACTCACAGTCTGTACCTCGGGTGCTCACATGGCACCCGGGCCTCTGATTGTTTCCTGTGCTCGCTGCCCTTCTCGAGGAGTCTGCGCAGCACCCAGGCCTGCCTCCCAGAGCCCTGGCTCCCCTCCCACGCCCCTCCCTCCCCTCCCACGCCCCTCCCTCCAGCACGGTCAGCATCTCCAGCCCCAACACTCAGGTAGCACGGCTTTGGCCCCGAGGGTTCTGCTCTGCGTGGTACCCGCGTGTGTGTAGGTGTGGCAGGTCTACGAACAGCCTGGTTCAACCATAAGCATCTGAAGAACTGGCTCCACGCACCATAGGAGGAGCGACACACTTGACCCCCAGCTCCTCGACACTCCTTTGGCTGTGTCAGGGTGGCAAAACCTTCTCCTGGCCCGTAAAGAAAGGAGGAACTTCAGAGAGGGACAAAGGGGAGGAAAGGGAGGGGGATATCACGGGTGACCTCCCTGATGAGCACTCTCCCCCACAGGAGACACCCAGGCCTCTCCCACTTCCTTTCCGTTAGCCCACAGGGCTGGCTCCGCCCCCCCCCACCTTTCCACCCACCCCCAAGCAAAAACTTTGAGAAGTCTCTCAAGTCAGCGTGGCAGGTCTTATTAGTTTCCCTTTGGGTGAATGAGAGGCTGAGCCCTGCTAGCACGGCTTTCCACCACCACCACCCCCCCGCCCCCCCCCCACCACCACCTGCACGTGACCTGGGAGTCTGTGGCCTCCTGGAGAAGCCTCCCAGGGCCATTTATGCTTGGAAGGTCTGTCTCCCCCAGCCAAAGTGCCCCAAGGCCCGCATTCCGCAGCTCCCGCCCTCCCACAGGCCAGCCGTCTGCCCCCAGGAAGCATTCTCATACTAATCAAATGAAAGGCGATCACTTTCACCTAATCCCACTTTGTCTAAACATGAAACTCCTGTGTCTGCCCCTCTCTCCTCCGAGGTCATTCCGCCATGGCCTTTCCCTCCAGGTTTGCTCATCAGTTTGGCTTCTCTTCACAGTTCTGTGCACCTCCCTTACCTCCCCCATTAGAACGTGGCTTCACTGAGGGCATGGATGAAACTTTAGCACCTTGCACGGTGCTGGGCATGTAGCAGGCGCTCAATGTATGTTTGTGGAACGAACACATGAATGAATGGTACTGGTCAGCTAGTACCAGTGAGGTGTGTTTTCTGGGCAATAAGTATACCCATGCATACACTGGGTGTGGGGTGGGTGTCAGGTGCTCTAGCTTACAGGGGAGAGAGAAACGTGTGCGCTCTGTGTGTGTTACATCTGTGTATTTCTGCACTGTAATTTACAATGGGGGAGCTCGGGAGGGGGTTTGCTGTGGGTATGCAAACACACTGTAGATATACATATGTGCAGGGTGTGGGGATATGTGCGTGAGAGCCTCTGTGTGTCAAAGGGCTCTGGTCCTGTCTGGGCCAGCACAGCCACAAGCTCAGTCGTCGGTTCCTCCTCCGCCAGGCCTGCCTTTGTGAGAATGACAAGCCCGAGCTAATACTGGCTGCACACCAAGCCGATGCCGGCTGGCAGAAGCTGGCTGTGGTGGAGTGGGCCGGGGCGGCGCCCAGGGTTCTGCTGGCGAGAGGGCCGCCACGGCCACCTGGCCCCACACACGGAAAACTCAAAGTCCTCTTGCTTCCCAGGGGAAGAATGCCAGTAGCAGAATGTGTACGTGGCCCATGGGTCCTTGGGGTGAGCCCCCACCAGGCCCGCTCTCCTAGGGGGGTGGTGGGAGAGGGAAGGCAGCTCCCACTGGATTGGATGGAACCCTTGGCCATCAAGGCAAAAAGGAGAGGTTTGAAATACAAGATAGAGACAAATCCAATTGCCGTCTTTAGGTATCAGCGTGTCTAAATATCCAAGTTCAGGACTTGGTTGGTGCAGGTCCCAACGGCCCAGAGTTGTGGCTACTGTGGGGCTGCAGCCAGCACCCAAGGCTGATCCTGGTCTCTTGTTCTGCCCGAGAGCTCTAGCCTGAAGTTAAGGTGAAGAGGTGTGTGGGGTGGGGGTGGGAAGCTAAGAAAAGTCTCCCCTCACCCCCATGGAACCTTCCAGTCCAGAAGGTTTCACCCTTCCCCCTTCAGATGTTTGAGGATTTGAAAGTGAGAGGTGGGGAGAGGCGCATTTGCATGTTCACTCACTCTCCCCCAAGTCCCTCAAAATAACCTCCCTCTCCCAGGAACCTGAAACCAAAGAAGCCACCAGCACAAGAAGGCCCGCCCTGCTGGAGGCCGGGGAGGCCCGCACAGGGGCTCCCCTCCCTGGCGTCCTTACAGACGCCCTGGGACACACATTCACTGGCCTAGAGCCCTGGACACCGCCTCATGGGTGAGTGGGGGGCTAGGAAGGTCCACAAGGACACTTGGCTCAAGGAATCGGGCACCTGGTTACCCTTAGTAACCGGTGCTGAGTTCCTCCCACCCCGCCCCATCATTGCAAAGCTCACAGCTGGCTCCAGTCAAAGTCCACTCCCAGGGTGGCAAGAGCTCCACTCCCTTTGAGGCCACTGCAGTATCCCTGGCTCCCATGGCCTGTCCTACTTGGGCTGAAAGCAAAGCCTTTGTGAGAGCATATGGCCCCCGGCCTGTGTGTGTGCACACGCACGCCACAGGAGGGAGCAAGAAAGCGAGGGTGCCCACACCCCCCGCCTGCAAACACACACCTCTGGTTCTCTGTGGTTGTGATTGCATTTCAAAACCAAAATAGCAAAACAGAAGTGGTTTGGGCTGTTCCTGCGTCATCACAGCTGGGCCCCCTTCAGACGTACAGACCCTTTCTGGGGCTGTCACTGGAACATGTCAAGCGGTGTCCAGCACCCACCCATCTGGGCCTCCCCTACAGGAAACAGCCCCTATGTGAAAGCCACGTCCACAGTCTCCATGGAGCAAGTTTAAATCTACACCCGTTCGGCTGAGCCAATGGCTCTCACAGAATCACTAATAACACCCGTGGCATTTTCACACACGCCGGCAAACATGGGGGCCAGATGGTCAGCTGGGCCCACAGAGCAGAGTTCTCCAGTTCCTCGCCCTCTCGCAGCCAGCTCTCACTCCTGAAATACCCCGTCCTCCCTGAAACCTTTCTGGAATTCTCTGGAAAGGAAGTGACAATTTCCTTCATGCCATTTCCCACTCCCTCAACACCCCGCCCCCACAACCACAAACAAAATGGAAACTACCCCAGGAACAGCTGTACCCTCTACTTAAAAACAGCCCCTCCTCCAATAGTCATCATGCTGCACGTTTGCACACTGCACCACATGACCAATGGCGTGTATTTAAGAGGCAGAGGGCCAGACTCGGGGGTCCAGTCTGTAGCCATGGACGTAGCAGAAGTAAGCCAAGTGTGGGACTCCTGCACAACCTTGGTCCAACTAGAGCTGGACTCCAAGCAGCCAGCTAGACCCCCCTCCTCGAACAGATGCCCAGCGAAGGGGCCCCGGCCACAGCTATTTTGTCAGCTTCTTCTCCTCTATTCCTGCCTTCTTACCACTCCCTCCATTTGAGATGAAATCAGGAAGAGGGAGGGAAAAAAATAAAGGTTTTGCAAGCTCTGTTGGTTGGGGTTTCTCTGCGCTTATTTACAAGAAACCCAGTTTCCTTCCTTGGCCCTCGGTCACTGCCTGATTCCCGTGTATGGTTTGTCACAGCTCTGATGGTAAGGCAGGCCCAGAGCTCCTCTCCAACTGCCCCTGCCCTTTCTCAGCTCTAGGCCTGCCCCTACTTTCCCGCCGGAGCTGGCGCACTGGAGGAGGGGTCAGGGCTGCAGGTCGCAGGCACAGAGACGTCTGCTCCTCTTTCTCCAGGAGACCCAACAAGAGGTGTGACCCCGGAAAAGTCAGCCATCTTTCTGGGCTGTGGTCTCTGTCATCCTTAAGATGGGTGAGGGCTGAGGGGAATCCAGGCCTAGCAGCTGCTCACCAGGGAGTCTCGGGTGAATGAAGATGGTGGTGGGAAAGTGCTTTGAAAATTAAAACACACTCATTCAGATGATGAGTTCCAGGTGACCTCCCAGAGAGCAAGGGGGCTGGGGACCCCATTAAGCTCCTGGATGCCCCCCATGGCTCTAGAACATAGATAGGGTGGGCTGCAGGCTTCCAGTTGTTGGCTTGGAAGGGGCTGGCTCCTCTCCTGGGATGGGGGCCCTGTAGGGAGGGACAGGCTGCTGTGGTTGAAGGAGTGCTCCCAGTCCCCTGTCCTCACCACCTCCAACCAGCCCTAGCCCTCTGGGTTGTGGTTATGTGGCAAGAGCACTGAAGAAGCCCCAGTGGGATGGGGGGAGGGCTATGACAAAGGGAACCTATTTCCCCAGCTGTCCTGACTCCCAGGGGCCTGGCCTGAGAAAGCCAAAAGAGCGCTCCCTGGAGGTGCCTGCAGCCACCACACCCTCATCTCCGGAGCTCCAAGGACCAGCAGGAGGCAGAGGGGCACCAAGCGCTCCTGGGAAGCGAAGAACAAGTCAGTGATGGGGAGAACATGCTGCGGGAAAGCGGGCAAAACCAAATCCAGGCCAGCTACTGAACCCCAGCGGGGTGCGCTGCCAGCCACAGCCTAGAAGACCCCAGAAGTCCCTGCAGACTGTAAGGGCACGGGCTTCCCAGCGAGAGGACCCAGCTTTGCCTTGGGGCTTAGGCAGGTCACCCTCTTCCTCTGGGAAACGAGGCCATCCTCCCTAGCTCACGGGATTGTTGTGGAAGGCCAGCAGGTCAATGTAGGTGAGAGCCCTGTGTTACCCCCCTAAGTGTGTTTTTAGATTTCCTGGTCAGATCCGTGTCTCTTTGGCTGAGGTCATGCATTAAGCATTCAGGATATCTTTACCTAGATGGACAGGAAGAAAGGGAAATGGAGCGGTGGGATGAAATGGAGGCTGAGGGGGGGACATAACCAACAATCATCAAACATGGTGGAGAGCGGAAACCAGTTTGACTATGGGGAGGAGGTGGGACTGGCTGGGGGGGCAGGGAAATCAGGGGGATAAGTGCATAGGCCTCGATTCACCAGGTGGTGGAATTTGAACTTGATCTGGAAGGCGACTGGGAGTTACTGTTGATTCTTGAGCAAGGGAGGGGCATAAAGCAAGCAGTTCCCAAGGAAGATCAGGAGATGGAAGGGGACCAGGTGGGGCACCTGGAGCCAAGGAGGTGAATCCCAGGGCCACCCTGAAGGAATAAAATGACAGAGTACAGGGCCATACAGTAATTGCAGAGACCTCAAGATTGCAACCTGTTCTTGCTGTGAGAATTGTAAAAGATAGAGTGACTGAGGCAGGAAATATGGCAAGAACATGAGCTCAGTTTGGACATTTTGAAGTTGGGATTATCTTGAAAAATCCAGGATTAATGGTGGAAAAAAGAGGGCCCAGAAAGTCATTTTGCTAAACACACACACACGCACACGCACACACACACCCTGGCGGGTGGGGCCTCGACAGGCCTTCAGTGGCCAGAGGAGCAGGCCTGGCCTGGCGAGGCTGGCATTCTGGACACTGTAGCAGAAAGCTGCATGTGCTGAATGAAAATGCTTCGAATGGCACACACTCCACCCCCACCCCTGCCCCCAGTAAGGCCTGCCTGCTTCCACGGGGGGTGGGGGGGGATGGGCGGGGGACAGACACACTGACCAGAGACTAATTAAATTTATTAGTGGGTTTTTTAGAAGCTGGGGCAATCTGTGGCTGGGCACCAAAAGGATATTAAGTCAGATAACTTTTATTGAAGGGACAGTGTTCTTTGTCTAGGCCCCTGCCAGCATGTGTCCTAGAAACGAATGCAGAGGCTCCCTGCTGGGATCTGGGGCTCCCCCAGGTAGGAGGGGTGGCGCGGGGTTTGAGACCTGCTTGGCTCTTGGTGCCCCTTCCAAACGCCCCCTTCCCCTACTGGCTACTTTCCAGGCAAGGAAAAGCAAGGGGCAGTCCAGCGTCCCCTGCACAGAGAGGCGGGCTCGAGAAAGCATGAGGTGGAAAGAGCCTACAGGCTGGGCTGGGCAGACAGGGAGGGCACCTTCAGCCCCGATGTAACCGGGAGCTCGCGGGGGCTCCTCCCTCCCCCTCCCCCACATGGCTGAAAGCCTCTCCTTGACTCAGTCTCAGGATGTCAAAGTTAAAAGGGACCTGAAAGATCATGGCATCCATCCTTCCTGTCATCCAACTGCAGACACCGAGTTCTCGAGGAAAGAGAAGTGACTTGCTCAAGGTCACACAGCTAGTTGCCGTGACTCCCAGGTGACCTTTCTTTCTCCCCTCCTCATTGTCTCTCCGGCATCCTCAAAAAAGCCAACCCTTTCCTTTGGTGATAACAGACAGCAGCCAAAGACCCAGGGCTGGCAAATAACAATGAGGCCACACATGTGCAGAACACATTTAACATTCGCAATGACTTCCCCACCTCTGCGTCTTTGTTCACACTGTCCCCTAGGCCTGATATGCCCTTCCCCAATTTCTGCAGCGCCAATTCCCACACGGTGTTCAAGATCTGAAGCAAATGTCACCTCCTTTACAAAGCTTTACCTGCTTCTTCCTCACCTGATATATCTCCTCCTCCTTCTCCTCTTCTTAACACCTTAGCTTGACTTACATTAAAGCAGAGGGTCTGCAAACTATGGCCCATGTGCCAAATCCAGCCCACCGTCTTCTTGTGTGGCCAGTGAGCTAAGGACGGTTTTTGTATTTTTTTAAGGATTGGGGAAAAAAATCAAAAGAACAATATTTCCTGCCACAGAAGAATTATATGAAGTCCAAATTTCAGTGTCCACAAAGAAAGTTTTATTGGAATGCAGCTACATGCATTCGTTTACGTATTGTCTGTGGTGGTTCTGCATCGTAAGTTGAGTTGCTGTGACAAGAGTTCACATGGGCCGCAAAGGCTAAACTACTTACTATGTGGTCCTTTGCAGGAAAAGTTTGCTGACTCCTGGACCAAAGGCTTCACTCTCCTTCAGAGTGAATAAATTCAAGCTCCTTTCGTAGAAGAATGTCACGGAGACTCACAGGTGCCTGGAGGGAGGCATGGAACATCAAGTACAAACTGCCAATTTTCATCAGAAAGTTCTAGCCCTGGCTCTGCCCACGGTGTGACCTTGAGCAAGTCACTTTTGCTTTGTTGGCCTCAGTTTCCTCAGCTGCACAGCGAGGGGGGTTGGACTGGATGGCCTCAGGCCCTTTGTAGCCCTACAATTTAGAGACTCAGCAATCTGCTGCATTTGCAACTCACAGTTTTGAGCAGGCACCATTCTGATCATTTTCTCTCAGAACAAGACCTTACAGAAGGTTCCCCTGCCCAGCTGTGGCTTTCCCTACCATTGTGGGCCCCCTCACTTATACTCACTTGCCCCGCCCGACCCTTCCCTTCTGCTGACCTGTCTGCCCTTCTCTCCGAACTCCTCTTCCGGCAAAATGAACATGGCCTCCTCTGAGGAAGCACCGCCCCCCCTCACCCGGTGGTCCAGGAGCCTCCATTTTGCGGGGTGGGGTGGAGGCAGGGAAAGAAGGGCTCCCGGCTCTCCTCGGCCTCGCAGGGCCCACAGCAGACAGGCAGTGGAGCAGGAGATAGGGCCAGCCCTCCCCGCACCCCTGCTCTGCCAGAGGAAACAGCCCCTCTCTGCCACTTCCTGTCCCAGGGGTTTCAGCAGTTTCCCCTTCAGGGCCTGCGGGCCCTCCCAGCCCCGCCCCTGCCCCACACAGGTCAGAGAGTGCAGAGAGGGGAGGGGCCCTGTGGGTGAGTGGGGAGGATCCCTCACAGGAAGGCTGAGGAGACAGCTGTCTACACAAGGGGACGCCCCAGCAGCTCCTCTGCCAGCCTGCTTGGGCTGGGGGAGCCGGGACCTGGGAGGGAGATGGGACTGTCTCCACAAACCCTCTCCTGTTAGCAGATGAGTACACATGAGCTCATCACCTCACCTAGCGATCACCTTGGAGAGCACAGTGAGCCTGCTGGGTGAAAGAGTGGGCTGTAAATGCTGAGGTCAGTTCTGCCTGGGCTGAGGACCAGCCCTGGGTGGCTTCAGATGGAGAGACGGGTTGAAGCGAGAGAGCCTGGGGAAACCAGGCCAACCATGGTGGTTAATTCGGAGCAGCAGGTGACACTGAAATCAATGGCACGTCAAAACTTTGCATGATTTTGTCCCTAGCGCCGATGGACAGAGGCAACAATGGAGAGCAAAGTATTCTATTACATGCGGGTCAAGGGTAGTGGCATTTTCTGGGTGATGGAACAGGAAGCTATCACGTTCCACAGCCGCTGCTGATTTGGTGTGGTGACTTCTACTTGTAAATACCTCCCAGTTGCCTTTGCAAGGTGGGGCTCCTAGCAGTGGGGCTGTGAGCCCGTGAGGGATCCGGGCAGGTGACCGGAAGCTCTGCCAGGCCTTCCCAAGGCAATAGGTCAGAGGAGCAGTAGTAGCCTGAGGCTCTGCACCTCTGCCCAGTTGTCAGTCCCCCTGAAGACAAGTTAGAAGTACATGATGATGGTTCTAGAAGCCTTGGTGCCTGGGATGGGGTCCTAATAGTGGATAGACACAACCACCTTGGCCCCCTGTGGTAATAGTGTTCCATGAGGTTCAAGTAGCAGTGAGCGAAGCTAAGGGTAAGGGGACCCCTAGAAATGATGGTCTGAATGGGCCAACGAAAAGGGATGGGAAGATGGTCTCCCGGCTCTGAGAGGTCATCTTCTTGTGCTTTTGGCTAAGAGCCCTGACCAGCCAGGCCTCCTGTCAATAGAACAGTCTGGCTTCGCCCCCTCTCCCCTCCCTCCATGCCTCCAGAGCCAAAAAGACCCAGCGCCCCTGCGATAGAGCCCCATCGCCCCTGAGGGGCGTGCCCGCTCCACCCCGCAAGTTGGAGTAAATACTGCTTCACAGCTGATATGGAGGATGCCAAGGAAGCCTCAGAGACAACATCTGGATGTGCACCCGGGCTCCTGCCAGCCCCTCCCTACATCTGCAGTGCAAACCCAGGGACAGGGTTTGGTTACAAGCCCAACTCAAAGCTGGTGGCATGTGTTTGGAAAGCACACCTGACTGGGCGGAGCGGGTGGAAGCACTTGAGACCGGTGCCAGCTCAGGGCAAGCGCTTGCGGGGTTGGCACTGATCTGAGCTAGTGTTGGACCCGGGATGGCGGGTGTAGCCACTGTGGCCTCAGCCGTGGGCATGTTGCAGGAGGGGCAGAGTGGCGTGGGTACTCATTTAAAGTGGGCAAGATTTTCTTTTGTGCCCTCTGATATCACGCCAGCCTGTTTCCTCTGCTTCTGGGGAAGGGGACCGAACAGTAAAAATTACAGGGTGACAGGGTGGAGCATAGGGAAGATGGCACGGATTTACATTTATTGGGTACAAGCCGCGGGGCTGGTGTCGCGCCAGTCACTTGCCGTAGGGCTATCTCCTTTCATTCTTACAGCATCGCAAAGTAGCTAGTCAGTGGCAGAGCCCGGGTTTGAACCCAGGTTTATTTCCAACTAGTACGCTCTTTGAACTTTGTTTCCAGTTACATCTCTTTTGGTAATAATCCTGTTTTAATAGTTCCATTTTACAAGCAGGAAAAGTGAGGCTTAGAAAAGATGAGGTAACAGGACCAAGGTCACACTGCCTGTCAAGAATGGAGGCAGAACTCAAACCCAGGCCTGTGTGACCTCAGAGTCTGTGCTTTTTCCCACTGCTCCATGCTGGTGACCACCTGCTCAGATTCCTAGCTCCGAGCTTGCTCACAACACCCAACGTTGAAGGCTCGGAGCCCCTACGATGTCCTTCAACAAAAGCTTCCCAGGCCTGTGTCCCAGATGCCTCAAAGCTCCATCTGATAGGTGAAACGTAACTTTCTGGGCAAAATGGTGACGAGTTGAGCCCCTGTGGCCAGCTGTGGAGGAGAGGTATTGTGGAGTACAAGGCTTCCGGCTCTGTTGATGAAGGAGGCTGACTCTATTCCTGTACCTCAGGAGACTACTGCTTCCAGAGTGTTGCTGGCTTCAGACCTGGAGTGGCTTAGGCATGGTCCCTGCCCCATAAATATACACTTGCTCTCGCCTTACACATAATTTAAGTCTGGGTTCTTATCTCAGGGTGTTGGTTCACATGTTTTTTCAAATATTTATGGAAAGTCAGCCCTGAACACCTCATAGGTGCCAGGTCTGTGGCCAGGGGCCTATCGCTGGGCCCACCCCATTCTTCTCTGTGGTAGGGTCTATTTGTATCTAAGTTCCCAGTAAGCTGGGTTAGCCCATCTGCCTAAACAACATTGCTGGGTTTTTTTCCCCTTAAAACACTCCTATAGCCAGTGTCTCTTCAAAATTGAGGCTCGGAGGTTGGGGGAAAATGGGGAGTGACTGCTAATGGGTATAGAGTTTCTTTATGGGGCAATAAAAATATTCTAAAATGGGTTGTGGTGAAGGACATACAACTCTGTGAGTATACAAAAAGGCATTGAATTATATACTTTAATTGGGTGAATTGTATGGTATTGAATTATAATTATATCTAATAAAGCTGTTATTAAAAAAAAAAAGTGGCCCAGAGAGGGCTCACTCAAGGCCACACGCAAGTTCATAGAACAGCTCAGGCCAGACTCCAGGTCTTCGGAGTTCTGATTCTGAAGCTCCCTCCTCCCATCAGCTTCCCCATAACCCTGAACAAGCATAACTGCTGAGGTTCAGCGAGTGTGCAAGGCAGCCCTATGCATGAGGGTTGGCGGCTGGATCTAGAGCAACAGGGTAGGAGTAGAAAATGCTCTAGAGCTGGGGCTTCAACTTAGGTCTCCATGAGCGTGGCCAAGTCCCTGCCCATCTCTGAGACCCAGCGGCCCCATCTGTTAAGTGAAGTGGATGAGTCTGGTGATCCTTTGCAAAAGGCTCCACCAGCTCTGACCGTCTGCAGTTCTAATTATAAAGCCCTGCAGGATGGAAGAGACTGGCATGTTGGATACGGGGCTCTTCTTGGAGTGCTGCAGGGGGCCTGGACACGATTAGGTGTTCCAGCTGATGCTCCTCATGCAGAGTGACGACCAGGACTTTCCCATGAGAGTCAGATGCTTTCAGAGGATTCCACTGCTGAGTTTCTCTATGGGGGGGGGGTAGCTGGTCCTGATTTCACTCCCCCCCACCGCCCCTGCCCACCAGCAGTGCTAGGTGGTAGAATAACCCATAATAGAGACCCATTGATCATGTCCTTTGGAGATGTCAGGAATCAGGTTCTTGGCCTGGCCCCTAGGCAGCCCCACCGCGTGCTAAGCTTGCCTCCGTGGTGGAGGGAATGACTGCTGATGGCCACCAGTCTAGTCCCCACTGGACAGGATGTTTCCACATCAAGCCCCACTTCCTGCAGCTAGGCCTGGGCTCCGGTTTCCCCCTTCTCTTGCCATGTGGTTGCCTGCCCTCTGCCCCCTCCCCTTGCTGGGTGTTTACAGGCTGCCTTATCAGCCTGGGGAATCTGGGCCTCACCCAGTCGGCTGCCCTGCCCCGCCCGGCACAGCCAGCCTGCCCAGGGCCCTACCTGCTGTGGTTTCGTCACTCCAGGCAGGCACCCCTACACCCCTCGCAGGCAGGGGCTGTGGATGAGAGCTTGCTGCCTGCCGGAGTGAGCTGAATATTCATAGCGCGTCGTCCACCTTGTACAAGCTGGGGGAGGGTATGCCCTCTTTCTACATTGTCACTGTCTCTATCTGCAGGCTCTCGGGACAGAAATGAGGTGCTCGGGCTGCTGAGGAGGCTAACTTCGGCCTGGAGAGCCTCGACGGCTCTTCTGTTCTCAGCCACAAAGAGGTGAGCAGGGGGCTGGGGGCGCAGCAGTAGGCTGGAAGGCTCTGAGTGTACAGACAGTTGGTTGTTTTTTTTTTTAACTGCAGAGTACTGTAAACACCTCACGCTACAGGTGGGGCGGAATGAGGGGCTGCAGACTGAGTGTGGTGGAGGAGGGAAGGCTGGGGAATCCGTGGGCACAGCCTTCAGAGCCCAGACCTCAGAGCTTCCTGGGTCCCACGCTGTCTCCATCTCACCTTGGGATCTGGTCAC